AATGTAAAAGATTGCGAATATATGTATTCCTAGAACCGAAATCCGAAAGTCTAGAACTTGTTGAAAAGTAAGATCATAACAATGTGGTTAACTATAATCTCCAAGTTAAACATTGAAGATTTACCAAACGTGAAATCATTTGAAAAATGATAGTTGGTAAACACGTAAATGTCAAAGAATGTAGTTATGATAATGAATGAAACTCACATATCAAGTTCGTGTTTATGTGCTTGGCTTTTAGCCACATTGCGGTAGTGGTGCAAATCGGTTGAAAAAACCAAAGTAGATGGTGTGAAGCTTAGTCTTTGGGTTGATTAGAAACCGAATACTTTGAGTACTGAACCACCCGTCTGTTTATATATGACACACGCTATTGATCAGCTAAATTTCAACCAGTATAGTGATCCCCAGTGCATTATTCGGCTTTAAATGTCGGACAATCAAACAATAAGCACGAATAGACACTCACACACTTAACTCTCGACAGACTATATATGCAAATTACTCCTTTTACCGTTGTTATTTTTTTATGGGGTAAGCTCATTTCATTATTAATAACCAAATTAGATAGCTTTCCGCTTTCCAAAGGGTAACAGGGAACAATCCCGGAAAGTATCATGTGTTCAAAAGCAATATAAATATATACTGAACGGAAGTCATTTATGAGAATAACTAACAAGGCGACAATCAACAAAGGAGTATGTGTCCCGGAAACCAAATTATCGGCTAACGTTAAAACCTTTCGTTTATTGAACAGCTCATTATGCATTATAAAATAAATAAACAAAACAATTACTTTTATTGTGAAGAACATTTATGGTTCAAATTGATTTATCAATCACAAATGTACATAGTACTTTGTGGATTTCGAATGATCTAATTAGCCGAACTGTCAGATAAATTTATTTCCCTTCAATGTAAACAAAATAACTATAAACAATAATCAATTATTGTAGTGATATTCGACAGTTTATTGATCCGTTCATTCAAACAATCCTATATAGATTCAGTGTAAACACCTGTATAAACAAATATATATAGAGGTAAATGTTCGTGACTTGCGAATTGCAAGAGGACTCTACGCTGATAATGAAAATATTCAAAGTTTGTCCTACTATGTACACACAACTGACGACGAATTCCATTTCAGATTACTATATTATTGTGTCTTTGCATACATATGTCTTTCGATGAAGTAAATTGTGCTCCAGAAAGTAAGTTCTGCATCTATACTATTATGATTTTGCTTTGTACACAAATGGAAATCTTCTTAAGATTGGTTCCAACTAATGTTAAGATAACTTAAGTAAACCATAATTCGAGGTTAATACACAAATTGGTTTAGATAGTTATGACCGGTAGTAATGTTAACTGAATTGTTTCAACTGATGAAATTTTTCAAAGTATCCCATTATTTTTTATATTAGTTGTTCAAAGTCATTTGGTTAATAGAACTCATGATTTTCAAAATGTAACAAATCAAACTACACTCACTTGGCATGATTGATGAACCCAAATCAGCAATGAGTACTTGACCAAATTGAAGACCACACACTACGCTTATGATCAAACAAAAATAAAAAGAATGAAAACTTAAAGAACCATTGTTGACACGATTCTATGCCAATGACTAAAATGGGGAAGCTGAGGTTGGTTATTTTTCTAATCATAGGTATTAGTAATATTTTTACTTATTGGTCTATCCGTTGAAAGAATGAACAGCCGTTAGTTAACTAGTAGCTGACCATACTATATATTTACTAATTATACTATTTGATTGCACTCAGCTCGGTAATTAGACAGTGAGCTATGGCTTTGTTTATCTAGTGAGCAAGATTGAAACTAAGAGTTTAGACCGCGTAAACCATGAACGTCTATAACTAGCAAAAAATCCCATATCAATGCGCACATAGAATAGATGGGATATGGCTAGCGACGGGATCCAGGATGCGTGTTTCATCCTACTTAGAATTCATCAGCCAGATATACTTAAACCCAAGAGATGATGTTCACTTTGGTACTGGAATCTATTATCTTTAGCTTAGAACCCTCAAAAAGTTATCTCTTTAGATGCTGAGTCCAGATAGCCACTCACTTGTGAGATGGATATGCAGCTTAATCTAATATTGAGTGATTGTAATATACAGTTTAGGTTAACACCATCCGTTCATGAAGTAAATTATTACTACGAGCCGGTTTGAAACACATATCAATCTATCCTGTTGTATATATCATCTTAGATTTATTTATACTCTCACGATTAATTTTAATTCATTTCAGAAAACAATGGAGGATCATCAGATGACGACTCTCCAGCACCGGTTGTTACTGTACAAAAGAATCGACTATATGTACCTACGTACTTGTATAAACATAAAGCTAATTAGCTCTTCTGGCCAGTTCCTGTGACAAAAATCAACACCTTTGTCAACATATCAGCCTAGACATTTAGATGACAGTTATTGTAATACTTATTGTGTTAATATAAAAGGTTTGGTTTCTAAATCACTTGATTTATGTCTTCTGTGAAAACAGAATCCTGTTAGATTAATTTAGTTTGTGACACTAACTTTCAGAAAAATACCCCGCTCCTGAATATTTCAAACAGACAACCAAAGAATGAGAATTTTTCTCCCTTAACTCGGCGCAGTTGACCTACAGAAAGCTGAATCTCTGCTTGAAAATTTATTAAATCCAACAGAAAATCATTATGTATTGCTACGGTGTATTAATATATGAGTAATGTGCATGGAAACAGAACGAAAAATCCACGTAATAGAACATTTTCCAAAAAATGTAGAAAGTCGATCAACCAGTGGTAAATATAGAAGATAAAGTATCGGGAAATCTAAGCGCAAACCTTAATTACACGACCAAGAAGTAGTAATCGAAACAAAAATTGAGAATTGGCATGGTTAGGAAACTAAGGCAAAACGATATGCGCACAATCTTGAGTCGATAGAAACCCTATCCAGCATTATAGTTTCCTTTAGCAAAAAGACACTTTGCAGTGGATTAGCATTGAAATAATTCCTTAGGCTTTGTATATCAAGCACCCTGATAACCGTTGAATAAATCCCAACGGTGTATAAATTTAGGCAGCACAAGGCGCCAACCAGTTTATTATTGAAAAGTACAGATCAATAAGCTATAAACACGCCGAGAGAATTCGAGCAGAAAAGCTGACGCGCACAAGCGAGCGAATATAGAAACGAATTAGAAGTCGAATCAATTAATAAGATTCGAGTATGGAAGTGCAGACTGTCATTGGAAAAATGGAAAACGATGAGACAGAGAAAGCAACAAACCAACTCGTCTTGACAAACGACTCAATATTTATAGTTAAACAAAAATAAGCTACAGACATGTGATAAGTAGGATAAGCAATACACACACATACGTCCATATAAAAAATCAAGATTAATAAGCGAATAATTGACAAGGTCAAAAAGAGTGACAAACGGAAAAGCAAGATTCTCCGATACAACGCAACATGCACCAATCAAATCACACTTGACGGAGAAGCTTTGGACGATGTAAAAACATTTACATATCTGGGCAGGATCATTCATGAGCACGATGGATTTGATACAAATGTGAAGTCACGGATCGGCAAAGCAAGAGTAGCATATCTACAACTGAAGAACATCTGGAACTCAAAACAACTGTCAACCAACACGAAGGTCAGAATTTTCAATATAAATGTCAAAACAGTTCTACTGTATGTGGCGGAAACCTGGAGAACTACGAAAGCCATCATCCAGAAAATACAAGCGTTTATTAACAGTTGCCTGTGCAAAACAGTTAGAATCCGTTGGCCAGACACTATTAGCAATAACCTACTGTGGGAGAGGACAAACCAGATTCCAGTGGAAGAAACGCTGGGAGTGTATAGAACCTACATTGAGGAGAGCATCCAACTGCGTCACAAGACAAGCCCTCACTTGGAATCATCAGGGGCAAAGGAAGATCAAAGAACACATTACACCGAGAAACGGAGACAAACATGAGACGAATGAACAATTATTGGATAGAGCTAGAAAGAAAGGCCCAGGACAGATTGGGTTGGAGAAAGCTGGTTGGTGGCCATTGGGGAGTAACAGGCGTAAGTAAGTAAACTGGTCTGTCCGGAAGCTAGAATAACCTATATGGCCTTGACATGGTACAATACAATTCATATGTAACTCGGAATTAACCATGTGCAACCCCACGAAGATCTGATAAAAGCACAAATCTTAACTTCGGGATCTACTACTCACACCAATAATTCGATATAAAAGAAAACATCTCTGATGTTTAATATTAAATGGAACCCAACAGTGTAAGAATAAAACAGAAGTCACGCAAGCTAAGTGACCAAGGTATTTCTATGAGACTAGAAACAGGTGAAAATAACATTGCTTCGAATTTGAAGAATCAGTATATTGAGGCTTAAACAAACACTTTCTAATTTCACTTGAAAGAATTACGGGTGAAATTGCCCATCAAAGATCAGTCAGTATATTTTATCGTTATTAGCAACAGGAAAGCATCAAAGTGTTCTTTTATTGAGAAAATCGTAAGTGCTTACTAAGCGAGTTTTAGATCGCACATCACTCAGCTGAACAGAATTTACTGTTTAACATGAGCTTCACTCTAGCCTCAATTAACGATTTTCATTTCAGTTGAAACAACAGGCTTGTAACTTTTACTGCAATGTCAACAGAAGTGGGGTGAAGATCTACATTACGAAGAAAAGTTCGAAAACTATAACCGTCATTTGTGAGCTATTCTATTAACTAAAGAGAACAGGTTCAGGAGCATAATTTTAAGCCGGTTCCTATACATGGGTTAGTAATACCACATACGTAAAGCAACTTTGAACCTGTGATTTAATAATTGAAATAGAGAGATTTGAACATTATAACGCAACATATTTACCATAACTTGGAGCTATTAAACCATCACACAACCACTAATACTATAACCAAGCAAAAAGAAATGAAAACAATAATCATCTATCCACGTGGAGACAATAAACATACAATATATTAACCAAAATTAATTGAAAATAACAATTTGTGACAAGTCACTTAAAGTGGTATGTTTTTGAAATACGGAAGTTCACGGCGCCAAATTGTTTCTAGCGCATCAAGAGCTTTCTGCCCAAGAGGCAAATCACCATAACGATCCACGAATGATTGTATTACACCGGCATAAGTTGTAGGATATGATATTAGTTCAACACCGTGAGGGGTTTTACGGAGTCCAGGTTGAACGAAAATAGGTCGAGGTTTTTTGCGATTAATCACAATTTGGCGCAATTTAGTATGTTCTGGTAGCAATTGACAATAATGCTGGAAGAAGGCGCAACCATCTTTAGCATTGGCTGTACTTTTATAATACTGAAACAAAAGAATTGAGAGAAAGCATTCAGTGAGTGAAACTTTAGAAAATAATTATACTACCAAGAAATAGTTCGTTAGCTACTCATTCATCATCGAGATAGTCTGGCACATAAACGATTTGTGCCAAGTTGTCATATCACGTTGTTCGAATTTGCTATTTATCCAGACTTTCAAAGTCAACATATGACAGCAACCATACATAGAGTAGCATCTAGCATGAATGCACTCATCCACGTTGCCATACATTTTATCAGCATAATCAGAAAACCAAGAAAATCAAATACTGATAAACAAAATAATGATAACACTTGTCGAGAACGAAAGAAGAGGCTCGAAGGATGAGTGGAATATATGAAGTAATAAACAATTTAGGATTTTAGAAACCAGAGATGATTGCATTTGGGCCACTTTGACTTATCTTAAGTCATAACACTTGCAATATTAGAGTGGTCTAATTCTGAAATCCAGGTACATAATTGGCACTGGAGTGAATTGTTCACTAAATGGTTGCACAGTTAGTGGTTTGTATTGTTGTGAGAAACGTGCCTAGATGATGGATTAGTGAGGTGCAATACTACTAGGCCCCCAAATGCCCTGGTACGGCCGAGAGTGGGGAGAGTTCGCTCTCCCTCTCGAAATGCTCTCACATGGCCACGCGTATATAACCTCTGCCAGGGAAGTCCTACTCACTGCCTTCTCGTGGAGGGGGTGTTGTTTACGAAAATGAGAGGACGAAAACCGAATGTCTGGCGCTTCAACCGGATCCCGAACCAATGGTGCACATGGGCTCCAGTATCCTGCGGGAACAAATGGCGTATGAACCAATTGTTGGTCACCGGCTTCCATGGGACTGCATCTCCTTACGATGTTCCACTGCCTTGTGGATCAGACCTTCAGGTCGAAGGCTCGGGCAGTGGCCCCCTAAGAAAACCACCTGCTTCGGTTTGGGCACCCGGGCAGTATCACAGCCTTCACACATATCGAATGACATTTGTGTGGCGCATATGTATTTGGTGCCTCCTTGTACCAATATCTATGTGTTAAAATAATAAAATTTGACAATGAATAACAATAATTGCATTCAAGAAGCTTTCTTAGAAACCTTGGACCAAAAGTCAGTGGTATTATAAACTGATGTCATGCCACGACATATAATTCATTAATCTTATTTGTATCAACTCTTGAGGTCTCCAGAATGGCACAGTAGTAATGTACCAGTATATGCACATGCACAATACATGTCTACTCATAAGAATCCATAAAAACATGATATGAAAAGGTCTCACCTGAATTTTTCGTAAAAATTCGCCAATTGCCGGACGACCCACTGTCAAAAGCTTTTGGCGATCTAAGAAAATAGTTAAATCAGGTGCACCATCATCACCAACTATTTCGTCTACACGTACTAGCGAATTGTCAGCTTCAATTAAAACCTAGTGAAGAATAAATAGTATATCTAAAATTGACATAACAGTCAGGAGTAATATACGCAACATTTAGTGATAATGAAGAAATGAGAGAAATTATAGAGATGCTAGCTACCCACACCACCAGACACTACGATTTTCAAAGATTGGCACAAGTAATCGGATGCTAAAATGCTTCCTCTGATAAGAATTCACGAATCAATCAATTATTTGCTTAAATTCACACATATAACGCGATAAAAGTAATGATATTGATAAAGACATTAACGTAGCAAAACTATATTGCATTATAAGCTTAAGAAAAAGAAGATAAACGTAATTTTACAGAAAATGGAGTTTTATCGTTCAGCTAGTATAACTTAGAAGAATGTCAATAATACGAAGACAGAAAGCAGGAAGTACTATGGGTTATAAAAAGATACACCTAGTTCAACAACCATCATGATAAAAATTGAGTTGAGATTTAACTCACAGAAAGCATAGTATTCTCTCATTATTAATCATTTGACAGCATAATGACCAGAGGGAAAATGTATTAAGTGTTTTATTTGAGCTTACATCTAGACCAACCAACGAAAATACAGGCTCAAGAAAACAGAAACGTGGTGGCGTATTTTACTAAACAGGAAGTTTCACGAAGTGGAAGTTCAGTGTAACTTGCAAAACTTTCTGAAAACACTTACCCGCAAAATCACATAACGAGCACAGCAATGTGCCTGACGCCATGAACCAATATCGCCAGCGTTTTCTGCAGGTGAATAGAATTCCATAGAAGTTACACCTGAACGAACCATGGACAACCAATTAACGTAGACAACATCTGGGACACTGTCTGTAGAGCAATTAGTATTAAGATTAAACTGTTCCAGGACAAGTGGTAAATTGCATAGATAAATTCCAACACATTCAGCTCGACATTCTTCAATTGCCGAAGACAAACTTGAAAATTTGCTGTCGTATGTTTCGCCTGGTTCATACCTTAAGAGTTAAAGAAAATACCATTGATGAAAGTCATCATCAGGAATTTTACCAAAAAAATATGTATATGATTGACTGTTCGTACCCAATACGAAGTTATAAGTCAAGAAAAATTGCTATAATCACACTATTTTATGATCGACACGTAATTTCCTTCACTTTCACAAGGATGACACATATTCACTAATAATCAGGCTGGCTCTCCGAACGGATGATACGTATAAAAATATGACATTAATACCGACCTGAATAGTGCTAACATTGGGTGATCATAAATACCAATTATAATTAGTTCGTAACAAATTCCAAATTGAAAGTAAAGACCCCTACTTAAACTGTTAGTTTAAATGTAAAAAGACAGTCAGTACATAATATTCCTACTATATGAATCTGTCGAGATCGAATCCTGTATCTTGACTACGCATAACAAGATCTACTAATTAGTTTCACCTATAATCGTAAATCAAACTATTCAGAATACTGTGTTTTTTACTGTGTATACTCCTACACATAATCTTGTGAGCGTTAACTTTACAGTTACGGCAAAAGTTAGGAATAATGCACAGATACTGCAATGTATTTGTTCTGAGTAGATTACGACGGAAACTAAAACGACAGAGAATGTGTTTACGCTACAATCCATTGAAAACTTTCAATAAGTCAAAAATGAAATAACAAAGAATGTACATTGGGAACGACCGATAAGGACACTAATTTGACACGAACCGGTTACTCGAATGCATTTTAGTTATCTACTTATTCTATTATCTTAATAATAAGCCAGGAATTGACTAACGCTGCCTTCATAAGCAGATAGAGGCTTTCCTATTTTAGTTTAAACGAACTGAGCCGTATGAGTTATCACAAGGAAGTATTTAAGCGTATACGCTGCAAAATCGATCCATGAGATTATTTACATTTCCATTAGTGGCAGGTCTAACCAAGAAGTCGGCGGCTGTTTCCCACAATCAACGACCGATATAATATTAGTGCCTTAATGACCTCACAGATTTACCTGTTGCACCGAGGTTTGGTGATACTACTCAGCTGTTGAGATCAAAATGGACAAACGTGGATGCAATGAATGGAAGTCAAGTCCCTAGATCATGGTTGCGCACACATCAACACAAAATCCTGTGTTCTGGCCTTGTAATGACCAAGTGTACTAGGTAAAAATGATAGGTTGACTAATGAGGCAATATATCTGCATCAACTGAGGTGCTTGTGACATGTTTCACGTATCTCCAATTACAGCCTAACTCGACGGGAGATGTTATCCGGTGAAGTAGGCTGAAAGAAAACAAAGGAGCGGTCAAAGAAAAACACGGCATCAGTCCATAATAATTGATTATCGGACTGAGCCAAATTAGTGGGTGTACAATACACGATCGGGGTCCACGTAGTAATCGTATTCGTTGGTTAGAGACCGAATAAAATGGCTAGACGTCGTTTCCAATAGCGCAGATGCATCCGTACAATATCTTTCCCCAAATTCTTAGCTTCTGAATTCCGCATAATTTTTATTTATTTCACTAATTTACATTATTTTGAGTCGTATTTTTGATGCTTAATATTTTCTAATACCACTAATACAGTTACTACCTCTACTACTCTGGAATTTGACATAACAATTTCATCTGGCTTTGCTGAAGCGTGACAACTTGAACCAGTGTACTTATGTATCAGGTTCTTATTTTATTTATATGAATATAAATATTGGTACAAAGGTGGACCAAATACATGTGCCGTACAAATCACATGATTTGTGTGTGGGATGTTATACTGCCCGGGTGCCCAGATCGAAGGTGGTTTTGTTAGGAGGTCAAACACAGAGCCTTCAACCTGAAGGTCTGATCCACAAGGCAGTGGGGCAACGTCAGGAGATGCAATCACGTGGTAGCCGGTGATCAACAATCGGTTTATACGCCTTCTGTTCTCTTAGAATCCTGGAGCCCATATGCACCAGGATTTTCCAAATCCCCAAGGTGAACTCTCCATATCCACCGGCCCAGTTAAAGCGCGGGACATTCGTTTTCCGTCCTCTCAACTTCGTAAACAACACTAGTACCGCGAGAAGGCAGTGAGTAGGACTTTCCCGGCAGTGGCTGTATGAGCGCAGCCATGTGAGAGCATTTCGAGAGGGAAAGCGAACCCTCCCCACCATCAGCCGTACCAGGGCATTTGGGGGGCTCTACGCCGCGACTGACTGGTGTTAACGATAAAAATAAAAAGGGAACAAAAGTTTTGTGAGTTCGAGTGCGAATAGACATACAAGTGGATGACACTTCCTTATTGTCCATACTTCAGAATATGCTTATCTCCATCTACCTATATTACGATGAAAATACAAGCCGCTTAAGGAAAGGCTAAAAGTCGTAACATAACATTACTAATTTGCCACTTTGTCATTTTTGTACCATATTCACAGTTTACTTTTCCACTAACGTTGATATTACTATTTCGTTGATTTCTTGTCACTGATGTGAATCGCAGCAACTTAGACAGAAGTACTTTCTTGTCATCTTAAATTGTTATAACTACCTGCATATGCTCACGTTTAATGTGCTACAATTTTTTGACACTAGTTAATTGGACATCTATAGCAAATATCTCGAGCGGATAGATCTAAGTTTACACTAACGGCTAGAGTTATATACCACTTGTTATTTGGTATATATAAGAAAACAGGGAAGGTAGCAATAATAGTAACCATAGGAAAGTGAAAGTAACCGACATACCAACTACGTATGGGACCTCCACTTATGATATCTTTCGTAGAATTCGTGTCAAAATTCAGTATTCCATCGCCACTACGTTGAAAGAGCTTCCCAGAACCATGGCCTAACAATTCATGAAGTCCAACTTGAAGTTCGAAAGAACTCTCCGCATAATCCACATACAACTTCTTGTCTTCCTCTCGGAGAAATTCTGATTTAGGGTCCTAATACGAAAAATAGGTTATACAAACAGACTTTACCTTGAAGCGAGCACTGAGTACATTCCCCAAGGATACATTTTTAAACCCATCAACTTGGCGCACATCATCATAGTTAGGAATGTTAATTCCAACAGGGATTCCTGAGGTTGCAAACGTTACTACGTCCAAACTTGTAAAGTCTGGTTGTAAGAACCTGTCTTTTTCGTAAGTAGAAGGCCATGGCAAATTAGATAACAAGTCAACAGCATTATCTACTAGCCGCTGAAATTTAGATGACATTGATCGATTCACAACTGCGACAAATGACTCGAACTCTGCACGTACACCTAAAGGATCACGATAAGTTTCAATAAAGCCAATGTAATTTTCAACCACAGGGCATTTGTCCTTGACCCATAGTCTAGAAGCATCTTTGTGAGAGTCTAAGGACCCAGTATAAAAGCTCTGAGCATAATGATCCCACATTTCTGATTCGATTTTGTTAAGAGAGTGTGCTTTGGCATCTAAAGAGCAGTCAACCAGTAACTCCATAAGTTCGCAGTAGTCACCGTACTCGAGCTGCAAAGAAGTTCCCGAAGGAAGGGCATCAAAATGCACAGGTTGAACTTTCTTCTCAGCCGACGCAAACCGAATCGAATAAACTTTGGAGTTGGAGTTACTACTCTTAAAAAGTCGGGTATTATACGCTTCAATTTTAACGTTTTCCAGATATTTTTGAACTAGTTCAGCATCACTTCGAATACAGTCTTCAGAGTAATAAGACGTTATTTCAGTGGGACTAAAACCAAGGCGTAAACGGCGAGGACTTAACGAATAGATGGCTGGAGCTATTTCTTTCCATAAAGCTTTAAGACCAGTTTCTGAATTAGAAAATTCACTGCTCAACGATAAAAATTCTGTTACCCTGTCGATATTGATAGCTGGGATGAACTTGGTGTCCCCAAACGACAGGTAATTCCCGAAATTACCCAGCACTGAGGCGAAATAAGATAAAATGTGGGTTATTTCCTCATCGGAAAAATTATTTTTTGCCGCTTTTTCAACAAAGGAATGTACGTTCTCCAAATGGAAAAAGCGACTGACAAACAAAAATATTCCGGGAGACTCAGGAGATGTTTGAATTAATCCTATGAGACCTCCAATCCAAGACGCTTGTGTGCAGCTGAAAACATAATCCTTTTCCACATTGCTAAGTGATTTGAACGCTTCAGTAACATCAAGAAAATGCACGGGAGGAGGTACATTGATATAGAAGTCCATATTACGACAAAGTATATGCTGTTTGCAAGCTCTGAATATGCTAACAGATTGAAGATAGCGTATTGCTGGTCTGAATATAGACTGGAAGTGAGAGAAAACCTACAAGGGATGTAAAGAGTAATTCTGATAATAGTAACTCACAAAGATGAAATCCAGAACATGATAAAAGTTTGTGTTGACCATTAATTAGACAAGACAAAGGGGTGCAGTTATAACAGATGAGTTAAGAGAATCGCACAAACCGTGACATCCTACTAAAATTGATGGAATCCCTTCTCCGATAAATCTCTACAACCTTGCTGAACCAAAGTGGCTCTCAAAGGACCACCTAGATCAATATAAGCATATACAGCAAGAATCTGAATGTAATACGGGTTCTATGAAACACATTGATTTGGATATTCATGTAACCAATGTTATTACACTCCCTATTTACTTGTCGAATACAAGAGGATAAGCCAAAATAATACTGGGTCAACAAGTTTTTACAGATGACTACATATATCACGAAACACTACTAAGTATCTCACCACACAATAGGATGTACATCCAATCTTACAAAGCACTACGTGGCAGAAATGCATATGAAAACTCAAACCAAACTAATTGACACACTAGGCATCAGATATACGGCATTAATCTTGAAATCTTTAGTCCTGGGTAATAATGATAGGTTTATTAACCCATAAAAGTAGATCACAAGTTATCGTGTCAAGAATCTGAGTGGTTGGAACAATCTTTGTAAGTGTAAGCTGACTAGATTATTTTTAACCCGTTAAATACAAATTTAAAAGCAAAAGGAGCCGACTCATGAAATTACACTCAGTCCCCAGCTGAGAAGAAACTATGAGAACTGTAGTTGATGTAAGCCCACTCTTCCCGCCAAAAGGTTCAAATGGTTGTGGACGGAATAGAAGAAGCTTTCGCTTAACAGGCTTCCGTGTCTAGTAGCAGAGGATCACCAAATCCTCCAGGCAGGAACCTAGGTATGTTAACAATAAAACAGGAAAAGAAATTGGTAAATCATAGTGTGATGCTGTCCTTGGTCCTTAAGAATAGGTCAAGTTGCCTCTTGAAGGACTCCTGAGAAGTCGCTTGGACTAGCTCGGCCGGCAGCGAATTCCAGCTTTTGACAACTCTTAAGGAGTAGAAGTTGTGTCTACATTCCGTCTTGCTATGTTGTGTTTCCAGTTTCTGGGTGTTACCCCTTAGGTTATTATTCGAACTAAGCTTAAGTAGGTGTTTAAGAGGATGTCCAGAAGTGTTAAGAATACTCTAAGCCATTAATAAATCACCTCTAAGACGCCTATACTCTAATGGGTATAGGTCTAGTGAATGGAGGCGTTCTTCGTAAGGTTTAGATTTGAGTCCTCGAACTGATTTCGTGGCTCACCGTTGGATACGCTCGAAAGTGACCTTGTCCTTTTGGAGTGAGGGGGAGTACTATGTTTCCGTACTCTAAATGGGGACGGATGAAACTACTGAAGGTTGTATGGAAAGTTCGTCCGTCAAACTGTCCAAAAATGCGCTTCAACGTTACCAGTGCAAGGTTTGCTCGGAAGGCATTTTTGTCACAGTTAGCGTAAGACTTTAAGTCATGGGGCATCAGGACTCCTAAATCCTTTTCGACTTGGGATACTACTAGAGAGGAGTTTCCTAAGTTGTAACTGTAGTTTGCGACATGTCGCAGATGGACTACTTTACACTTTGAAGTGTTAAAGGTAAATCCGTTATCGTCTGCCCAGCTTTGAAGTCGAGTCAGATCCTCTTGAAGTGCCTGTATATCGTCTTGGTTGCGTATCTCTCTCCAAAGTTTCACGTCGTCGGCAAAAAGTAATAAGTCTGACGTTACCTGTTGAGGAAGATCATTTATGTAGATCAAGGAGAGAAGAGGCCCTAGTACTGAGCCCTGGGGGACCCCACTAGGACATTCCATGGCCTGAGATAAAGTGAAATTAACCCTAACCTTAAAGTGTCGATTTTTTAGGTATGAAGTAAGCCAATCGATTAGAGGTGGTTTGATACCTAGTCGTTTGAGCTTATTCGTAAGACAAAAGTGGTTAACCTTATCAAAAGCTTTTGAGAAATCAAGGTAAATAATATCAACCTTTCCTTTGCGATCGAGGATGCTTGTCCATCTGTCCACCGCAGTCAGCAGGTTGGTTATACAAGAGTAACCCTTCCTGAAATCATGCTGTTGGGGTGAGAAGAAACTTAAGGACAGTAGATAGTCGTTTAAACCATCAAATGGTTCAAATGGTTATGGACAGAATAGAAGAAGCTTTTGCTTAACCGTCTTCCGGGTCTAGTAGCAGTGGATCACCAACACATCCAGACAGGAACCTAGGTATATTAACGATAATAGAGAAAAGAAAGAAATCGGTAAATCATGGTAAGACACTATCCTTAGTCCTGAAGAATAGGTCAAGTTTCCTCTTAAGGGACTCCTTGGAAGTCCCTTGAACTAGCTGAGCTGGCAGCGAATTCTAGCACTAGACAACTTTCTAGGAGTAGAAGTTGTGTCTACAGTCCGTTCTTCCACGTTGTGTCTCCAGTTTCTGAGTGTTACCTCTTATGTTTGTGTTGCAGCTAAACTTAAGTAGGTGTTTAAGAGGATGTCCAGAAGTGTTAAGGATGCTGTAAGGCCACATCTAAGACGTCTGTACTCTAATGGGTGAAGATTTAGTGACTGGAGGCGCTCTTCATAAGGCTTGAATTTGAGTCTCCGAACTGATCTCGTGGCCCGCAGTTGGATAAGCTGCAGAATGTCCTTATGCTTTTGGAGGGGGAAAATACTACATTTCCGTACTCTAAGTGATGACGAACAAAACTGTTGAAGATTATGTGGAAAGTTCTTCCGTCAAACTGGCCAAAAATGCGCCTCAATGTTACCAGTGCAAGGTTTGCACGAAAGGTATTTTTGTCAGTTTGCTTAAAACTTCAGATCATAGGGTACCAGCACTCCTAAATCTTTTTCAACCTTAAATTTTTCTAGAGGGGAGTTGCCTAAGTTGTAACTGTAGTCTGCAACATGTCTCAGGTGGATTACTCTACACTCTAAAGTGTTAAGGGTAAGTCCGTTGTCATACCTCCTGAAGTGCCAGTACATTCTCTCGGTTGCATATCTCTCCCCAGAGTTACACATCATCAGCAAAAAGTAATAGGTCAAACGATACTTGTAATGAAGATCGGGTATATAAATCAAGAGAAGAGATCCTAGTACTGGACCCTAGGGAACCCCACTAGGACATTTCATAGTCTGAGACAAAGTGAAGTTAACCCTGACTTTAAAATGCCGATTTTTCAATTATGAATTGAGCCAATCATTTAGAGATGATTTGGTACCTAATCGTTTGAGCCTACTGACAAAACATATATGGTTGAACCTGTCAAAAGATTTCGAGAAGTTGTAGTGGCATTGGACAATAGCCACACACAATCCACAAAGCTGTGAACACGAGACTACTCAGGAAATAGATATTCAATATTTAACGCGGAGAAATACCTAACAATGGAGAAGGCGCGAACAATGAATTGAATGGACTGGAGTTGACCGGATGGCATGGATCGGCCATGCAGGCGTGGTCCATCTGAATGTTACGTTATATCTTCTATTCATATTAAATATATTGTTCCTTCTCTAACCTAACCTTGTTCTACATCATGTATTGGTAATTGATACGATACAGTGAGTTGGTGTAGTCGATGGTGTGACTTCCACGTAAGATCTTATAGATTAGGCAGTTATATCATGACAAATCTACAAATTTAGGATTAGGTCTATTATTAGAGCAGTACTAATATCATAGTAGACCATAGTTCTACATTGGTGAGCCCAACTAAAGAAACGCAACCCATTACTGTTAATCCGTATTTCCATCTTAACCTTATCAATCGATTTTATATTTGTGTTAACACAGCATTCTAATAGTCCTCTGATTAATGCTCACATGTATTATCGTAATGTTATATTGATTATTACTCATAACATACTAACTCAATCGATACAAATAACCGGTTATCTATATCAATTAGCTTTGATGGTTCATTAACAAGCTTTAATAGCATTTACATGCTTCTGCGGAATAAACTTGTTTAAACATCTAGCTATATCTAAAAATAACGTGAATATACATTGACTAACAATGCAATCAAGGATTGAATAGTTATCTGGATCTAATTCTTAGTGTTCCTTCACTTAACACCTCATCCTGTTTTTAAACTATGCACTATCCTGTAATATCTTTCCTTCCGACCACTGCCTGCCTAATTTCACATTCTCGAGTTCCATTGCCAAACAACAAGGGTGACACTTCTCCAAAAACACACGGTGAGTTTCAGCTATAAGTTTTCTGCAATCATAAAGTTATTTTAGATGACTCGTTCAAGGGCAACCACACAATTGTCTGGATTCATTCGATTGTTCTGATCCGAGCGAGTGGCAAAAACGCCAATAGCATCAAGCACCCTGGAATTAATTGCCATGCTGCATGTTTTATTCTGGACGCTTTTGGATCATTACTTCTCCTCACGAATGGCGTTATATATGTCGTCCACTGAATAATCTAATTTTCAAAAATAATCAAGGCGAGTTCAACTATTTTACTTAATGATTTTTTGTACTTAACATGTATATGTTTTCCAGTTGCTTTTGCCATATATTTGTAAGTGTCCCTAGGCTAAATGCAGTAACCTCTTATGGAATGTTTATAACGCATCATATTCCTGCCTGAAGTTTCACAAGCAGTCTAAACTTTAAAATTATTTTCTGGACATCTTCATTATTTTTAAATCGTCATATACGTCAACAACTTGCATGTTAACCTGGCCCGCACATACGTTACACTATATCTTCATCTCTTCTAAATTTAGGAATCATCTGAATCGCCTTTAACATTTATCAATAAACCCATCATAGTCGTTGTTGCTTATCGTATTTGGGTTTATGGATTGGTTTATCATATTAGCAGCCTAAAATGTGAACATAGTTTGAATAATAAGATTAAAAATTTAGGTATTATCAACTGCACTAGTAAAATAACTAAATCCCTAGGTAGCTGTTGGCTAAACAAACGTTTAAAATCAAAATTCCGTAGCCTACTAGAAATAACACTAAACGAGTCTTTCTGAATTAAAATTTATAATTAAATTAGGCGTCTCGGATTCTTTAACGTTACAAATTTCTGATAATCTCGAATCACCTAAAGCAACAATACCTATTTTTCCACTGACTAATCCTCAATCAGCACTATAACTAGTTAAATTTAATAGTTTCAGGATATCGTCATAAAGCATTGTCATAACTTGACAATCACGTAATATGATTGATAAAATTAATGAAACTATTAACAAAATCGGTCAGCAAATTGACTTATAATTATCACTAGTGTTGTTTTCCTTTTAGCTTCATTCACTACAGATGATTAGTATGTTTCTCTATCAGATGCTGACTCAGTAAATATCTCGAAACCTCGTCAGTCTAATTGATGGTTTAGCGACACAATCATGCATGCAAATAATCAGTATAAGCAGTCGAGCAAACCTCCTGTAAACTCAAAACATCAATGTCGAATTTACCCCAACACTGACTAAGGTTCAAGCCATTATCATAGACATGAGTTGGGAGTGTACTCCCCCTGGTTACAACTTATGTTCTCTCTGATAATCACATGAGCATCACTCACTATTAATCATCTTGTAAAAACTTATTTAGCTAAATACATCTTGCAGCACCACATCACTTCGTAATATGACACAGGCCTAACTGATTTTAATAACTTATAACCACTATATCTCAATTTAATCGTATTCCGCCTTATGATAAACTGCATACTTGCAACTAACTTGTATACCCAATCAGCCGGCGAGTATAAATATAAATAAATAGTCTGCCGCAGATCAGAACATTGAGTCTAGAGCATGTCTCTTACGAATACACTCATGTTTAACGATTTGTTCCTAGCTATCTGTCCAAAATTCATAGAATTATCACTCATGTATTTAAATTTTATTTTGATAACCATTCATGTGTATTAGTAGTATTACTAAATTCTATCACGGTCAAGTAAAAATGAGGTTGAGAAAATCTCCCCGTAACTAAATAAACCGTATCAAACTAACAGGAACACTAGTTGGAATTCTTCTCCACGGTATACTTTTGTTCCTTCAGTTAGCCTACTAATACAGATGCAATTGGAATTCAACTCTTATGGACAACTTACCGGCATAATCGTTATTTGATTTCATAATTTAAACCAAAACTAATACCAATATTAACATTTCTACAATATTCATCACGTTGATTCTGGTGGGAGAGTAGTGTAGTGGCATTGGACAATAGCCACACACAATCCACAAAGCTGTGAACACGAGACTACTCAGGAAATAGATATTCAATATTTAACGCGGAGAAATACCTAACAATGGAGAAGGCGCGAACAATGAATTGAATGGACTGGAGTTGACCGGATGGCATGGATCGGCCATGCAGGCGTGGTCCATCTGAATGTTACGTTATATCTTCTATTCATATTAAATATATTGTTCCTTCTCTAACCTAACCTTGTTCTACATCATGTATTGGTAATTGATACGATACAGTGAGTTGGTGTAGTCGATGGTGTGACTTCCACGTAAGATCTTATAGATTAGGCAGTTATATCATGACAAATCTACAAATTTAGGATTAGGTCTATTATTAGAGCAGTACTAATATCATAGTAGACCGTAATTCTACAAAGTCATACCGTCTTATTTTCTTCATTTATCTTTCTGTACAGCGTATGAAAGCTTTTGTTATCAGTTTGGCCAGATTCTGTTTCATCAAGATACATCTTGACAAGGGATTCAAGAAGATTTTGAAACACGGTATTACTTTGAGAAATAAGAGTCAATGAACCCGTTTTCTTCAGGAATACCATTAACTTCTAATTCACTCGATTGTAAAAATAGACAAAGCGGAGGGTATTTCGAAAACACATAAACAACCCTAGTGACAAATAGATATCAAAAATACATATTTTTATAAGTTTTCGACAATGGTGCTGACCTTATTAGTCTTGCCGGACACATTCTAAGCTGCAGGAAATTGGTCAAACGTCCATACGAAACTACATTTGGGTACACGTCTTATGAAAACTGACCAGCTAATATTTCTGAAAATACGGAATTCCGGTGTTTTTCAAGTTCATCTACACATCACATCATTCTCGGCATCTAGTTTGATTGGCTCTGGTATCGTTATATATGAGGAGGTTTCCGATAGTAGCATTGTTGAGCACTGCAAATGTGACATCTTCATTATCTCTTATAAAGTGCGGTAGAAAGTGTTTATAAGTGAATCTGGTTTCTTTCCACCAAACTATTTGTTGTCTCTCATTATCTCAGGGTGTCGCCATTATTTTCTGTCAATCAAGTTCCATGATGTAATAGATTGGTTTTCGCTATAGTTGTTCTGATCGAGTCCTGTGCATTTTAGCTTGGTAACTATGGTCTTTCCAGTTTCACAACAAGGGTTTGACAGATTTTCTGATACGAGCATGAGAATTATGAGCTTGCAGTAGCTTTTAGAGACCCTTGGGGAATTCAGTCTCTCCAATCATATCTCTCTTTGTCATGCATTCATGTGTTAACTTCGACTTTTGATCCAAAGTTGTGAAAAATTAAATATAAAACAAATGGACAATGGACTGAAGTTAAAAGCAGTGGCAAAAAAATTAGCAAGCACCCATTTATTGATCGTAATACAGTCATGTAGTAACCGTGGATGACACGAGGATGTTCAAATGATAAGAATGTTACTGAAATATCGATCTCACACAAATCCTCATAAATTATGTCTGCTTAACACATTTTGATTAATGTTATATCAAACATCGAATACGGAAGTGTTTTAAAAGGATAAACTGTAGAATCCAAACTACGGTTTGAATAGAAGAATAGGGCAAGGTATAAACGGTAATCCCTTTCAAATCTGTCCGCCGTTTCGTTTCAACGACCTTGAACGCGCTGACTGGAAGCGGGCATTCCGTATTTCAATTGCCGTGTGTGTGTTGGGTCCTATGAGTATTAAATGTTTCCATATATAAGTCATCTTTTGATGCATAATAAACACTAAATAACTGCTAAGAGCATTAACTGAGTATTTTCTGTTTTGTAGTGCACACTTTAGCTCTGTTGTTCCTTCGAAACTTGATCTGTGGTCCTAAGTGCTGTAGTGAAAGTCAACAGCTATATATAATTTGTTGATAAGGTCCAGAAAACAACGTAAGAAAGATAAAATAACGTAAAAGGTTATAGATGCGCATAGTTTTTGTGAGTTAAGACGAAATGTCAACTGAAGGGTAAGTCCTAAATATTTGTTGTTCTTCCTTCAGTTAATTTTTTTCAAGGAATAACCTTTTTTTAATAGCTATTGTATGTTGTATCTAGTGCTTCATGCTCAAGTGAAATTTCAGTGAACGTAAGCGACGCGTTCCAACGTATTATGCTGAATAAGATATTCGGAAGCTGGATTGAATTAGATAATGCGCTAAAGGATTTCCATAAAGTATGATGGGATAAATCTATGTTATCTCAGATGACCCATACACACTATGTTCACGCAGAAAGTAGATTGTTGAAGGATGTGAGATATAAATACTTGTTCGTAGTGTTTCGTTGCACGTTTGGTCGTAAACGTAAATCAGAAGGTCTGAATGTGATTAAAAAACCGTGAGGACTCTAACTAATGTGTTACCTTTAAGGTCTAAATTTTTAAATTGCCAATCGATGTTTCGCGTAAGATTGGAGGGTCAACAATACGTTATAAAATCTTACAACATGACTCACAACCATCCGTGTACTAGTTCGTGGATGGTTTGTGATCCGTTGAGTAGACGATTGTCATCAGAAGAAAAAGAAAACTTGAAACCAGTTATATTGCACTGTCAGTCGACGGACGAAGTTATCGAAAGTATTAAGGGAAGAACAGGTAAGCAGGTGACCGCTGCTGATGTCAAAAATATGAAAGCTGAACTCTCCACTGGTAAGTGTATATAAATATATTTCAGGTTGGACTCGGAAGCAGGTATTGCAGATGATGCGACAAAACGGTCAAGTTAGAGAGCATGCAGAAAATGGATCTATTACGGCGGTATGCTTCAGCAGTTATGATCAGATACGGCTGTACAATCAATATCCCGAAGTCGTGTGTATTGATTCTACTTATAAAACTAATAATAAAAAGTGAATATGATTTTCGTTTTGTTCTACTATGTAGGTATTCATTATTCCAGTTAGTGGTAACAGACAATTGGGGTCGAGGTCGAACTGTTATGTTTGCATGGACAAAAAAAGAAAAGCGTGCTGATGTTACGTGTCACGTAAAACAATGTGGGCGCGTGCCTTTTACGGCAGTGTATTAACTTTGGGTAACAACACGAATAATCGTGTTGAGTCATTAAATAGGCAGATTAAAAGATATGTACGCAAAAGCGACCGCTTGCACAAATGCATGTACAAGGCTTTTAAGTGGAGTTCAATGACATTCTCTAGAAAAAGCATGGAAGACCAAATAATCAGTGGACAAACATACAGTTATGATGCTCCACAGCGTCTTATACCCTTGCTGAACATGTTGACCCCATTCGCAAGATCCAAAGTGGTATACGAACTAAAAAGAATGCGTTTCGTTAACTTAGAATATGAAAGCGGCGAGTGGTTGTTTATGCTTGACCGCGGACAACATTACGAAGTAGATGTAAGTATTTGTGAATGCAATTGTAGCACGTTTAATATGTGTCGATATCCGTGCCGCCATCTCCTGCTGGCATATATTAAAAGACGAAGTCTAACAGGTAAGCTATTTAAATTATAAAATATAAACTGCATAGCTCATCAACTTCTTAGGTGTTGCTGTAGATGGAAATTAGACAATACGCACAATTTACAAAACAACACAGTAATTTCATTACGGAGACGAAGTAAAGAATATATACAACTTCAACGGCTCCAAAGAATGTGCAAACAACGAATTGTTGAGAAATATGGTGAACGCTTCGCGAATCAGGTGGAGAGAAGGGTCTACAATTTTTACTTAAGAATTATAAACAGCTAGACAGCAGGTTTACGATTAACAGTTCTTTGTGGCTTTATTTTATACCACTATTTATACAACTTGTAAACTTATCTTTCCACTTTAGTAGTCATGAAAAATCAATAAACTTTTTCTCATTTTTTATTTTCGTCTTCTTCATACTTTCATGGGGAGGTTTACCAATCGCTTTAACGAATAATTGTGTGTGAAAATTAAGAATTTGTACTACTGTATTAGTTACGAACTGTCGTTAGAACTTAGCGTTATATCGTTGTTCATTGTCAGGAATCAATGAGTCAAATAAAACAATAATGCGACTTCCACGTAAAACCTTACAGATTAAACAACCGCCTTACATATTTTCCGTTGTCAGATTACGTCCATTATCAAGTTAGTATTAGTATGGAACTAGACAATTTCATGCAGCTAGTTCCTTGATAAGATGGATTACGTAATCCTTAGACCACCCTTCCACTCACACTTCTTTGCTAAATTATGTTAACTCTTCAGATTGTCTTCACTTATCTTATTAGTTCTTAATTCAATGATTTATTCATTACATCTAGAATTATCACACAATTTATCTTATAGGCTTCTGAGCTTCACTCGACTATTACACCACCCATCCTTTATGTTCCCTTAAGTCTAACACCAAATGACCTTTGACCTGTTCAAGCATATACATATGTATAGTTATTATTGATAACCTAGGTCATTCCAATTCTTTGCTTTATATTATATTTCATACTATTTCTTCCCTCAATCTTAAATTATAATGCATATTCAGTTGTATGCAACTTATAAGAAACCACGAAATGTAATGCAGTCACATGATTGTGCGTCAGTATTTGTTTTGGCTTTATTTAGACCATAATTATACAAACTTACAGGATTTATAATATAAAACACTGCGTATGGTTGTTATATTTATATTTAAATAATTCATTAGATGAATGAGCATAGCAGTAGGCAATATAAAACAGTTATCGTAAACTTGTAAACCGGTTTTCCACACGACCTTCCGTAATCCTAAATTCCATAAGCTTCATACTATTCTGAAAAACAACAAATCCGTTTTGAGACAAACAATTAAACTTTGTTCTCAGTATCATATTCAATAAGTTATTCAAATAGCAAGTAACAGACTGTGCCTATAAGTCTTTTATTAACAAGTAGTGACATTCATTCATAACTTCCTGAGTAACACAACAACTGTATTACCGAAACGGAGTGAAGAGTATATAATAACTCATTTGTGAACCCTATAACAGACACGTCACAAATCAGTATTAACTAAAAAACATGGTTGTGTCACCATTCTCACAAGAAACACCGATCGTTTTATTCATGAAGATTTTGTTCCTACTTGATGTGGTGTTATACACTATTACTGCAGACATTCAGAAATCCGCTGGACAACACTATAAACGTCAATTGTTACTCATATATTTTTTTATACGTTACATAATTATGTCACTTCAGTACAAAACAATGGTACCTCTAATGGATATAACTTTTTGTGGCTAAATACAAACAAGTTATATAATATTCACAATTAGGTTAACGCTTGATTGCTTCTACTTACATTTTATAAACAACTACCGACATCCATGTTCACCGTCACCGCAATCAAGGAGGTGAACCATATGTAAAAGATTTTACGGTTCATTTTCATGAAAACTCAATCTGTGATGTATTTTTTGACTAGAAACACGGTGAACTTTACTTGCTTGAGTTTGTATTGTTACAAATAACTAGATTAAGCTAACTTCAGATTTACTTACGTGATGAGCTAGAAATACGTCAAACTGCCAATAAATTGGAATAAAAACTATGTTACAAGCACTAGCAATACAGAAATTGATGTGTCATGCAAAAAAGCCTGTTAATAGCTGATAAATAACGACACAAAAAATCCACGACAATATGTAACGTGTGCGCGAAAATCCCTGGCTTACCCACTAGTCCGTGCCGAAGAATAGCCGTCCGGGTATTTTAGACACGCGCCCTTTCCCGTCGAAATCAAAACAAGTAATCGGGTAAATAGCGGTTCTATAATTCATCATAAATTTAAATGTAAATCGTTACCTAAACAAATATTACCACCCGGCTATTCAACCAATAATTGTTCAATCAATCAAATCTGAATTACAATAAATAAAGAAGTTGATAGAAGATGAGGGAAAATTACCAGTCATAACAAATGAATGTTATTCTATCCTGACTGGATAGAACACACACAAAAGGAGGAGCAAATCAATATGGCTACCGGCAAGAACAAGTGTCAAGTAAACCAACACAGATGCAGTTCAGGAAGAAACACAAACTTAGTGAATGCGTAAGAAAAACAAAAACTATAATAAAAAATACGAGTATTAACAATTCAAATGTAATCAGAAGACAATAGTGTACAACTAAGGGGATCAATAGGAACAAAGTACAAGTATATACATGGAGGGATTTTCACCAACACACAAAACATTCAAAATGGATCTTACATATACTTTTTACATTCAGTTTTTCACTGGAAGAAAAAGAGAAACGGCTATCCACTGGAGTAGTAGGGATATCCAACTCAATGAATGCTAAATATATATATATATATATTAGAACAACACATATAAGCGAACAATTGTTTTCAATTAGATCGTCATCAGGCTTTACTCTAATATACATGAATATTTATACGAAAATGTTAAACCAATCAAGGCAATATGAGTCAATAATCACAATGAAAAAGAATAAGTCACTACACATAAAATAGGTAAAAGTACAAGTTGATAGTACGAAGACAGGTGAACAGATAGTGGTAAGAATAATAAACTATAATAACAAAACTCTTATCAATAGTTAATCGTTGGAAATAGAAGGTCAAATAAACATGGGTAAATAGACTAGGAATAGTAATCACAAAACCTTAAAAATCATTACGTAATAAGATGTGTGTAAATAATTAGATAGTGAAGAATACAAAGAGGCGGATAATGACAAACAAATAATGGATGTGGAAATAAGGTTAACAATAACACAAATAGAATAAAATAAATAATGATTATAATGGGAATCAATTACAATGGGAATCTTTAATATATATATATATATATATATATATATATATATATATATATATATATATATATATATATATCGTAGATAACCAATAAGAGCATGAATGACCAATGTATAAAAGTAAACCAAACATTAATATCATTAGTAAGGCCTCAAAAACAGAAAAGGAAAATGAGAGGGTCATAAGATACCTGATAAGGCTAGAATGACTGGTTTAGAGAACACATTTCCTGGAGTAAAACGTTTACAAAGTGAAGCGATAAAATTAGCCCATTTGGATATGGAACAGTGATAGAAACTTTACAGCCTTACGGAGAGCCATATCTCCCTTGGCAAATCTGGTAAAGATGTCACAGATACTCGGAATTTGACAACTCTTTTGACTGTGACATTAATATTATTGAAGGAAACTGACCCGATCAAAGCAGAAGGAATGTATGGGTTTGAAGATATGCTTGGATAGTTGTAGGTATATTGAGGGACATTTGATCTTAGCTGACTGGTAGTTGCGATGGATGCGTAGCACGGCGATCCCATTAGTGATCTGGTGCGGATGCGTGACTGAGCGCCTTCAGCTAAGGTGTGTTTAGCAAAACTAATTAGGTTGGCATCAATATGAAAGACTTGCAGGACTACTGATATTTGGGATTTATCTAAAGCTACTAAAGCAATGAATATATCTCATTTTAAAAGAGTATTATGAGAATGATGTTTTTTATGATACAATATATATGAATAGTCTAAATGAACACAAAATGTTGCATATTTTAAAGTGCTGTAAACATGTTACATCATCTAGTGAACTGGTGAATCTCACTTGAATTGTTTTCAGTATACATCATTATTTTGGTTTATGATGTGTCCAAAGATTCTGTTCCATGCTTCCATCCAATTTTCTCGCCGTTTTCTAGTAGCGGAAAAATCTGAAACAAAGACTGGTTCTACAGTCACAGTCTGAACAAATTGTTTACCTCAGTAGACGATTCTACGCTCGTTTGTGACTTACGCTGGCTGCTGTGCTGTTATCTAGTTCAAATGATTCAAACAGATCAATCAAGTACGCTTTATCGGCTTCTTGAATATCAGACACGACTGAGCTCTGGAATCGTAGATCGGTCTTGAAGTCTTGGGCGATTTCTCGAACAAAATGCTGGAATGGAAGTTTACGAATCAGAAGTTCGATACTTTTCTGGTAACGACGGATTTCTCGAAGGGCGACGGTCCCAGGTCTGTATCTATATGGCTCCTTTACGTCCCCGATAGCTGGGGCAATTTCACACGCAGCCTTGGTGGCTAGCTGCTTTCGAGAGGCCCTACCTCCGGTTGATTTGCG